CTCCTGCTTGTGTTCCCTCTCTCTTGTCTCTCTCTGTCAAATAAATAAATAAAATCTTAAAAAAAAAAAAAAAGAAAAGAAAAGAAATAGCCCAGTCAAGAAATGGGCAGAAGACATGAACAGACATTTCTCCAAAGAAGACAAAGAAATGGCCAACAGACACATGAAAAAATGCTCAACATCACTTGGCATCAGGTAAATACAAATCAAAACCCCAATGAGTTACCACCTCACACCAGTCAGATGGCTAAAATTAACAAGTCAGGAAACAACAAATGTTGGCGAGGATGCAGAGAAAGGGGAACCCTCTTACACTGTTGGTGGGAATGCAAGCTGGAGCAGCCACTATGGAAAACAGTACGGAGGTTCCTTAAAAAGTTAAAAATAGAGCTACCCTATGACCCAGCAATTACACTACTAGGTATTTACCCAAAGGATACAAACAATGTGATCTGAAGGGGCACCTGCACCTCAAGGTTTATAGCAGCAATGTCCACAATAGCCAAACTATGGAAAGAGCCCAGATGTCCATTGGCAGATGGAAAGATAAAGAAGATGTGGTATATATACACAATGGAATATTAGTCAGCCTTCAAAAAGGATGAAATCTTACCATTTACAATGACATGGATGGAACTGGAGGGTATTATGCTAAGCGAAATAAGTTAATCAGAGGAGGACAACTGTCGTATGGTTTCCCTCATATGTGGAATTTAAGAAACAAAACATAGGATCATAGGGGAAGGGAGGGGAAAAATAAAATAAGACAAAATCAGAGAGGGAGATAAACCATAAGAGACTCTTAATCATAGAAAACAAACTGAGGATTGTGGGAGGGGAGGTGGGTCAGGGGATGGGGTAACCGGGTGATGGGCATTAAGGAGGGCCCATAATGTAATGAGCACTGAGTGTTATATGCAATTGATGAATAACTGAACTCTACATCTGAAACTATTGGTACACTATGATAATTAATTGAATTCAAATAAAATAAGATATATTTAAAAAAAAGAAAAAAAGAAATAAACAAATAGGAGAGTAGCATGACCATACTTGGCTTTTGGAAAGCAAACAACACCATTTGTTGTTGGATATGGAAGCTGAATTTGAGACAGATACTGTGGGGTGCGAGACCTGTAAGGGATATCCACATGGACATAAGAATTTCATCCTGTAAACATAAAATAAGCCTCAGATACTATGCTAGCTTTTTCATATATTCTATCGTACATGATCTCCTGAATCTCCTGTGTTAGCACTATTTTTCTCATTTTGAAGATGAAGAAACCAGCTCCAGGGTATCAAGTAGCCTACAGCAGAAACTGGACTGAATTCAGGTCTGGCTTTAGAGCCTCTTCTGTTTCCAATGAACCACAGAGCTTTCAGAATCATAGGGATGAGGAACTAGCAGAAGGGGCACTGGCCTATTTCTGAGGCAGACATGGGGACTGGCCAGGGGTATAGGGAGAAGAGGGTGAGGAAAGAGACAATAAGAGTGACTCTCAGATTTCCAGATAGCAAGTCTAGGGGGATAACAATGCCAAGGTGCAATGTATAGACTATAGAAGAATGTCCAGTTAAATAATACCAGGGTATGGAGAGGGGAAGCTAAGTGAGGACAGGACTCTGAGAAGCTTCCATTCCTCTGGGGCAGGTAAGGAAGAGGAAGAGATTTGGAAAGAAGCCTTTAGGGAGGCTGGAAGGGATGCAGGTGTAGATCAGGATGGGGCGGGCTCAGAGGAAATGACCCGGTGGCACATCGGGAGGAGCCAGGTGGCACGTAGGGCACCCACCAGCGTTGAACAGTAAAGGTCAAGGTGAGCTCAATGTAAAGAGTGTCAGAGAAGTCCTGATGCGTGGGGAGCAATGCAGGGGACTGAGGAATAAACAGGAACAGCAGCCTCTCTTGAAGAAAGGCAGAAAACAAGAAGGCTGAGGGGTGGACCCATCTGGAGCAAGAGCAGGCCAGGCATGAGCCAAACACGGATCCTAAGGAATCACAGCCTGCTGACCCCAGAGGAGACTTGACTGATAAAGCATCCTTCTGCCTCACAGACCAGGAGACCAATCACCAGATAATAAGGCAGCAGCCCTGGGAGTTCTTTCCCCTCCAGAAAATAAAGCAGGCACACAAATTACTCTTTGAATGTAAAATGATTGGAAGTGTTGAAAATTCCTACTCCAAACAAATGGCTGGCTCTGAAGGCTCCATATGCCAACATGCCGCTCAGCCTAATGGGCCAGCCAGAGGTTTGTTATAATAGTCAGCGGCCATCAGCACCTAGCCTATTCAGCTTCTCCATCATTCAGACTGTCAGGATATATGGGTTCTCCCCCTACCCCCTCCTTCATTGTCAGGAATCAAAATGATCTGCAGCATAATGGGCGAAACTACCGTAACTACTGGGCCATTTAAATTTATTGGGTTCCGGTTGAATAGGCCAGTATTACTGTAAGTGCCACTGCCGCTGTTAGGAGCTATTAGAATGGAACATTTGTTCAAAAGCCTCAACCCCTCATTTCTTCTCTTACAATTGGAGCTGAGCTGGGCTGGGCCTCCCCCGCTCCCCACTTATGCGTCCTTTCTGCCCTGATTGCAGCTTGGCCCTCCCTTTTGTCTAGTTGATTTTCAATGTATTCAGGCCAGTAGGCTATTCTTTCTTTATTAAAATATATATGTAAGTCCTATGATTTTTTTTTAAATGTGTTCCAAGACTGAATTCTCAGCACCATCCTGGTGTTCAGAACAAAGTGAGGGAGTAGTTTGTTTTAAGAAAAATACATACTTCCATAACACGTACAGAGATTAAAGATGTCCAAAATGCTGGTTTTCGTTTTTAGGTTTAAGAAGTTTGATCACAGATATTTACGGAAAATCCTAATCCGAAAGAACCAGCCCAAATCCAGCATTGTCTCCTTGTACAAGAAGCTGGAAATGAAACAAGCTATTGAGATGGTAGAAACTGGGATCCTCAGTTCCACAGCCTTTCCTGTACCCCACCAGTAAGTCCCATATGCTCTTTGATCTGGACTTTCCGTGTCAGAATTCCTAGGGGCACTAACTCATCGTTTCATTTAGAGATAATGCTAGGAGTGAAGGGGCAGAAATTTGAAGGAGGAATCACGAGAAAAGGATGACCTAAGTCTTGGCCATTTGTATTTTGGCCCACGCTCACCTCGTTTCTGAACATTATCTAGCAAAAGTTGCATGCTATAGTTGTATGACCTTTCCTTGGGAAGGAAGGGAAAGTGAATTTATAGAATGATGGCATGGTTTACAAGACTTTCTCTTTTTGATTAATTTCTACCCTTCAACCCCGGTTCATTTGATTTCGCTAATCGTACACTAATAATAATATACATTTCTCCAGTAAGGCATTTATTTCTCTTCTCTCTTGTATGAGGAGGAGAGACCCGGTCAGCATCTTGTGATGCTAGCTGGGATTAGGAGTTGAGTGGTGGTAACACGTGTCGTGGTTGGTGGGCTAGTTAAATTTACCTAGGTAACACCTAGGTAAATTTACCCCCCCACCAAGGATGTCCAGGTTTCTTTCATGAAGCAGTTTATGAGGGACCCCTGGGTGGCTCAATCAGTTAAGTGTCTGCCTTCAGCTCAGGTCGTGATCCCAGGGTCCTGGGATTGAGTCCCGCATCTGGCTCCTTGCTCGGCGGGGAGCCTGCTTCTCCCTCTGCCTCTGACCCTCCCCCCTTCTTGTGCACACTCTCTCTCTCTCTCTCTCTGACAAATTAAAAAAATATCTAAAAAAAAAAGAAGCAATTTATGAATTGAGAAAATTACTCACAACATATTTAGGGTAAGGAACACCTCCATCCTGTCATCTTCTGTAGGTAGACATTGATCATGAGCTTCAATTGTGTCTTCAGTTTGAAAAGCAGGTTGAGATAAGAGCTAAGAACAGATAGCAATAAAATTGTCACTAATACCTGAGTGTTACCTCGCATCCCTTACTTGCTAATGAATCAGAAACACCCTTTCCTTTCTTCCGAGGCCTGAGAAAAATCTCAAGTAGGGTCCCTGAGGGCATCTCAGTGTAAACAGAGACTTTCTGCCTTAGTTCTCAGTGAAACTGTTTCTGTGGTTTGCTTGTTTGTTTCGGTACTGCCCATCGTGTGGCTTGCTTTAAGGAAACTTCTGATGCGAAAATGGCAATGTGCTAACAAATATTTATTGGTAATGCCATGAGGAGCCATATTAGAGCCTAAGGCAGAAGAAAAAATCAGTATTATCGATCCTGTCTTTATTTAAAACGTGGATATTCTATTCATCGTGGATTGTTTTCTTTTTTGCACTGACCTTTGTTTTCTAAAATATTGCATTTGCATCCTACTTAACTTGACTGAGCTTTTTTGGCATCATCTTGGGCCCAACCCTGTTCCGTGGACACTTATTATGTGCCAGGGACGTCAAACAGACACAGTCCCTGGCCTCATGGCGCTCATACCCTAGCACGGTCATGGCATTAATAAAAAAATTTCTCACAAACATACGATCGTAAAGTCTAGGGAGCTAGGAGAGTATAAGAAGTGCCCCTCTGGTCCCCAGGCATTTGACCTGCTCACTGGGTGCATGGGAGTTAATGCCCTGCAGGAGGGCTGGATAGGTTCAGGCACTTTAGACCATCAGGAACTTCCTGAATCCATTTGCTTACTAGTTCTGTGAGCTCTGGGTCTAAGAATGTAGGGGTGCTTATCTCAGATGAGAATCAGTCTGTCATGTGCTAAAACATATTTGCAATCTCTGTATTACCTTGCATTGGTCGTAAGCAGCGGCCCCAGTCTCTAACCTCAAGGCAGTTTTCAAGCCAGCTTTATTTGGAGGGAGCCTTTCTGTTGAGTTCATTAGTTTTTAGACATTGATTCAAGATTAGTAAGAGAGGCTTCGAGGTTAGTAACTCTTTTTTTCCTCTAACAGCCCAAACCAGTTAGTTAACTGGGCTAGGAGAGGAGATTCTTTTACCTGATATTTAATACAAGTTTAACAGTACTTAGATTGCATTCATTTGATCTCATCAGAAATCTGTACGACATCAAGCAAAAAGGAATTCCTCTCCCAAGATCAAAGCAGCTAATTTCTTCAAAACAAACCTTTATACAATAATAGGAAAAAGAAGTGTGTACTCAGCTCGCTTTTTATTATTCTGTATGAGATGATAACAATAAAATGCACATACATTTTTTTCTTTAGAAGTTTAAGCAATTGTTCTACAAGAGGGTTAGCTTTCCAAACTCTGTGAAGTTCAGGAGAACACTACCACCAGAAGTTGTCGATAGCACAGTGCAGATGGTGATTCTATGGAATGCCCTTATTTTTGTAGACATTATGTTATTTGACCCTCAGAACAACCCTAGGGAATAGATAGAGTGTGTACTTGGATTATTATTTTAAATAAGAGGCACCTCGTTTTACCAGTGAGTAGTAAGCTTTTAGAAATACCAGACGATAAAGGCTCCAATGATTAAAAGTGTCAAACCCTTAAAAAATATTTGGTTACTATTAAAGAGGTATTGAAGTATGTAGTTAGAGGCATAACAGACTACCACTATATAACTTCAAAGCGTCATCCTTAAAAGCTCCCAAATAATTTTAACATGTCATAAAAAAAAAAAAAGCGCAAATTATTGTAGTTTAAGAATTTTTTAATTGATCACACATTGGCAGGTAGAGGCTTACATTTATGCATTCTTACACCGAAGATTCTGGAATGAAGAGTCTGGTGCCATTTTCACTTCCACGATGGAACATTGTGTTGTGCGGAGCCAGGCCCTCTCCTGCGCCACTCTTCACTCATCCTAGATATTGGTCATCTTGGTGACCTCTCTAAAAAGACACAACGAACCCACACACAGAGAAGAGCAGTTGGGTCCCATTGGTTAATCAGTGGGCGCATTCTTCATTTGCCTTAGCATACATTTCTCATGGATTTTGTGTGTAAAGCTATCACAAGAGAATGGGTTCTTTCAAACAAACCAGGGTATAATATTTGATCTTTTAGGAATTCATATCATGGCATGAATAGAACATCTACTACTAGATTTCATATTTATATTGTTGTGTTTAGAACTGAAGCGTCTTTTTACATTATTATAGCATCTGATTAAAAAAAGTTAAGAGAAATGTGAACTTTTATTTAAATACATTTGGATTCAGATTTTCCCAGTTTGATTTTCATAGTCATGAAATTACCACAGAGCTTTTATTTGAGGTGACAGAAATTTCCTTTATGGATATTGAATGGATGTTCCAGCGACAAGCGTCTCTCATCTTACAGTTTTATTTTTTTTACCTAGAGATTATTAACATTCAGTTTTTCTAAGGATTGTATCTTTCCTGTGCTCACAATATGATCATTTCAGGGATGATTTTGCTAATGAAGTGGCATGTAGAAAACTCCAGGTATCACCTTGCCTAAATTAACAATTCCTCTTGTATAATTTCATAGCTGTCGCTTCTCAATGTGGATCAGTGCGAGATAGTGCCTTTGGGATCCCTGTATTACACATCCAGCCAACAGCCTGAATGGACATTAATTAAGTCTAGTCTTTCCCAAAGTGGCCAGTTACAAACTGGGAAGAGTGCCAAGTTAGACCTACTGCTATCTTGAGTTTAACTTTACCATTATCTTATGGTTTTTTCCTATTTGGTTGTGAATATCATTATGAACATAGGAAATGTAACTTTTTGATTAGCTGTTGTTTCTGCTCAGCAAGAGATTGCTTCCACCATAATAAAGGAATGTGTTCAGATTGTGGGAATGTGTAGGTGTATCTCAATCAGAATAAATTTTATTTCAAGGACTTTTAAATAGTGAGGTTGAAAAGCCCTGATAATAATGTTTAGATCACCAGGGGTGGTAACTGAATATCAATAGTGTTGACATTTGCAGCTCTGAGATATGGAAACTCTGATTTCAAGGATTTTGTAGAAAGGACATTAGTCAGCCTACAGGTAGGATTGCTAAATGAATTCTGGCATACTGTGATCCCCCGTATCCAAGTCCTTAAAAATATTTTAACAATTGTACTTACAAATGTACAAAAAGTACTCACAAAATGTCCTTGCTATGTATGGCTACATTGCTACTAATGTTTGGGAAAAATACTTAAAAAGTGGCCTGTGTTGAAACCAATAGCTACTGATGCCTGTGATCAATTATCCTAAGACCTTTGCAAGCAGATAGGCGCATCTTTGTGCCTTTGTGCCTTGAGAAGAGCTCCAGCGAGGAAAGAAGAAATCAACACTCTGTAAGGTTTTATACCAAGATATTAAAGGAGGTGAGAGTATTGAAAGATGCATTTAATTTTCTTTAGTTCTCTCTTTTTTGTTCTTACTTCCTACAGTGAACATATATTATTCATACAATGAAACCTTTTCTAGAAATTCCTGCCACTAGATTGAAATGATTGAAATCAAATATATTTGTCACATGAGAATTCTGCACATAGCAATGTCATGACTTTGAAATCCTCAGAAGACAATGGTGCATTGACTGATAACCTGGACATGACTTGATTTTTAAACCCATTTGGGGGCGCAGCGGGTGGGGGAGGAGGGGGAGGGCTCATGGTGAAGGAAGCCTTGGGGAGCTGGTCATGCGGAGGCAGGGAGCAGTCAACTGCTTCTAGAATCTCACAGAGTGCCCAGTGTCTCAGAGCTGGGTTGGCTTTCAGAATAGAAATAGTCTAAATGTCCTCATAAAATATGATTCTAGTTTCTTACCATTTTTCTTTAACCAACGATAAAATCCCTAAAGGGACAATTCCAAGGTAAAGGTACTCACAGAATTTTAATACTCCCTTAGATCAGTGCTATTCAAAATGTGGTGTGCAAATGGTGTTGTCCATGAGCTGTTTGTCACCTGTCGCAGTGGGATGAGTGCAGACCTAACCACGAGTCAGTCTTGCTTAGTAATCTTATTTCCATTTAATCTAACAGTAAAACGTTTGGTTCTAATTTTATAGTATCTTTTTAAAAATTTATTTTCTAGCAGTTGATTTGTATTGTATTTTACCAACGTGTCTGCTCATAACAAATATGGGGGGAAAAATAACTGGTTTGTAACCACCTTAAACCCCTTTTTAAAAATGAGTTAGAATAATTCCCACATAAAAGCTATAGGCAAGGAAACCATATTTTCAAAATGTGAAGTCAAGACACATGTACTGACATTTCACAGGAACTTACTAAAACAGTAGAAAAAATTATGTTAAAACATGTGTTCTGGAACTTAGAACTCCCACATGTATATTGATACTTTTGTGGCACTCTTGCCAGGATGTAAGAATAATGCTTGGCTTCCCTCCAATGATGTTTCCAGGGCCCAGAGGATACACAGAACCAAAAGACTTTCCCTGGAAGACGTGGAGTCCATGAGGAACATTCTGACACACAACATGTACCAAGTTCGACAAAGGGTGTGTATAAGCCATCTGACTTGTCCCATTGCCTGGCCTTGGAACCAGTCATTCAGGAATCCGTTCTTGTTCACATTATCTCCTCTAAAGTAGCTTTCTGGCTAAACCATTTATTTCTGCTTGATTTGGAGAACAAAAAGTTAATTGTTACCTTTCTGCTAAAAAAAAAAAAAAAAAAAATTGGCACAGGCGGTGTAAAAAGGAATGCAGATCCAATTGCTGGCCCTAGGGGTCAGGCTGCCCTAGCCCTGCAGCCTGGTACTTTCAGAACCAATAGGTCTCCCTCTCCCTCCAAAGATGAACAAGTGGTGGAGCTCATTCACCGCACCACAGAAAAAGATGGCACCAGGACACCAATGATAGGCTCAATCTGATTGACTGTAATAGAGCTTAGAAAGTTGAGATGGTTATTGAAATGCTGAAAGCCTATATTAGAGGAGACATATTAGGCATATTATTTTTTAATTTTGGAAAAAGGTATGGAGTCTATACTACCACTTGGGAACTGGTGGAAAGTGAGTAGTAAGAACCTTCCTGGGGGCGGTGGTGAGTCTTTCTGAAATTTTGATGTAGTCAAATGACATTTAAGCTTGTGAAATCTGAATAGGAGTTTTCTTTTTTCAGTTTGAGGATTCAGTTGAACATGCCAATGCTTGAGTATGATATGGCTCTAAGTAAATTCATTGTGAGGGCCTTGGTTTTTGTGACTATGTTATAGATCACGGTCTTGATGGGGCCAAAAAATCCATCAGGTCTACTTGCTTTCAAGTAGAAGATGCTGAGGTTACGAGAGTTGTTTATCTGACCTGTTGAAGGTCACACAAAAAAATCCAAGTTAAGAACCCAGGTCTTCCAACTGCCTACCCAGTGCTCTTTCCATGACTCCAGCCTTATGCGATCCAGTTAAAGTGAATGTTCTCTGGCTTCCTGTTTTGGAAAGGTCAGTGATTAAGGGGTATGTGTCAGCAAAAGGCTCTGCACCTGCTGAAGGAATATAGGTCAGCATCAATCATAGCAAGCTTAGAGTAAATTCAAGAGCTTTCAAATCATTCCAAGTGAAACTGTTTCAGTAAGACTATCACATTCTGATAAATAGTTAGATAAATTGTTAAAAGCTTCCTGGTTTGAAGAATGTCGGCTTGCTTCTTGGGGGCCAGAGCTCAAAGGCAGCCTGAAAGTCAGCCTTTTCCCCATGTGGACAAAGGTTGAATTTAAGGAAATGTCCAGAAGTGGAGATGAAGATCCTGGGATTCCAACTCAGTCTAAAATGAGGTTAACTACCCATTCTCTCTTTCTTTCCTTCCATTCAGGTTCCCAGATGGCCACATTTCGTCTTTCATAAGGGTGTCTATTCCATCTGTCCTCCAGATTTCTCCCTTCTAAGCTATATAACATCTACCTTTCTTACTGCCCCCAAATAAGCAGACGGGTCATGGAAGGTCACATGGGGAGAACATAAATAATAAGCAGAAGGGAGTTTTCAAGCCCCTGAGATGGCTTTTACCTCCACTTTTTGTTACTTTGACGGAGTGAGCCTCACCAGTCCTTCCCTTCCTGTCTCCTTTCTCATCCCACCTTTTACATGGGTCATGTGACTCCCCTTTGCCCCGTGGTCCTCTTGCCCTCTTGAAAGAAAAACTGCTCTAGAGTTGCAATGCAGGACAACTGTCTCCTTGGTTCTAGTGAGTGATCTATAGTTTTGAGGACTGTCACAAAAGGTGACATCTGTGGTCTCTAGCCTGGGTGATAGTCACTGGACCTCACACAGTGTGGGGCTGATGGCTGGGGCATTTCTCACAGTCTAATCTCAGAAGAGTCAGGAGTCATTTCAGGGCAAGGGTGAGATGAGTGCCGGGTTTGACTGGGGGATCCTGATTCATAGTTGATCTAAAACTGAGCTGGTCCTGCCCGATCTGTTGCTCCTGGGAGGGCTCTGGCCACTCCTGTTTGAAGCCATTCCCATCAGCATGTCCAGTATCAGATTGTCATTGCTGGGCAAGTTGAAGAACTAGCCTCCAGAGGTTCCCAGTGGGACAGCCCTCTGGGATGCAGAAGCTCTTTGCAACACACTGGGGATGGAGATGGAGAAACACTCTCTTTAATTGTACAAGGGAAGAAACTGACCTCCGCTCAGGCTCTAAGGATAAGTCAGAGATTATTGATGGGCAGCCCCCTGGGGAGGCCCAAATGATCAGGTCACACGCAGAATTCAAAGGAGTAAAACAGTTTATTCAATTTCAGTTCTCTTCAGCAGATTTTTAATGCACATCTAGAGCTTTGTCCCATAGAGCTCAAGTTCTAGGGGCAAATACAGTCTTTCAGCAATCACCAGTTCCTTCATCAAAGGACTGGACTGAAAGAAACAGAAGGAAGAAAATTGCATATATATATGCATAGGACCTACTATGCTCCCTGCAGATAGGCAAGGATAATTACATGGGTGATGTGATATGAGGTGAAATAGAACAAAAAATGTCCAAATGTTCCTTAAAGTACAGCCCTCAAGTCAAGGTATAGGAAATTCCTACCAGCAACATATACACATACGTGTATATATATGTACAGACACACATACATACATGTGTGTATATAAACATACATGCACACTGACGTCACTTTTGCATGAATTTAATGTTGATGAAAAATTGTAAACGTTTGTCTTGGTAGTCTAATACTTAATTTAAAAATGTTTTCTGTGACAGTGTCACATGTCATTCTTTAATATCTCCATGTATACAGTGCACTGAAGTTGAGGTCCATCATTAGTGATGGTGGATAAGAATCCCTATTTCAAACATATTTCAAAAATTTAATTTTTTGCCAGAGTTTTTTTTATCAGATTGGTTAATTTGTCAAGAGTGGCTGGGGGCACCTGGGTGGCTCAGTTGGTTAAGCGACTGCCTTCGGCTCAGGTCATGATCCTGGAGTCCC